GACCCGCCCCCCCCCCCCACACAAAAACGGTAAATTAGTTCTGCTCAAAGAGTGTATACATATATCTGTTTGTGTCCGTTTTTTCTGCTTAATAACAAGAGAACAAGAGAAGCTCATCCGCCTTTTGACAGGTGTTTATTTTTCCTTTTTTATTTAGTACAAGGTAGTACCTGCCTTCGCACATCCTGGACCATGTACAATACGTGTAATAATTACAAAAACAGGAAGCCCACAGTGCTCAAGGATCTTGTGTCTCCACGTTAATAAGCCTGAACCCATACGATATAGTTTGCAAGATTAAAATGTAGCAATACACTCTGCTAACTGCTTTTATCCACATGTACACGACGTATTGCATCTGAACATGCTTTCTATTTAATAGATAAAATATTTAATTAATAGTTCAATGCAATACTAATTTAGTAGTTTTAAAAATCTACCACAGCGGGGGAGGGAGAGCAGCCCCCCCCCCCCACCGTCGAGGAGTGCTCCGCCAACATCCGGCCGGGAAAAACAAACATAGTTCGTCGGAGAGAAAGATGTACATGTATTTTCAACATACAGAATTTAAAAACATTTTTTCGTCGGGGACATCTTCCCCCGTCGGGGACCTCAGACCCCTACCGCCGTCGGGAAAATCCTGGTTTCTCGACTGCTTTATTTGACCACATACCTCCATGATTTGACAATATTGTTTACAATTCAATTAAAAATATATACACTTTTCTAAAACAATGATACAGGCCTATGTTTTAGTTTGAAAAATAATTTTGTTTGTTTTTTTTTTTTGTTTTTTTTTGTCAAAATTTGAGAACTAAACAGAGGCATAAAGACCAGTAGAAGTTATAAAATTTGATTTTAGCCTATGCGATCGTTTTGTAAACATCAACTCGAATCTAAAATTTTGGTAAAATCCGGGGTGAAACCTGGATACTTTTGATGACGCTTGATCTACATGCACATAACAAATATAATTTACAATTGCAAATTCCTTTACAGTAGTGGCGGATCCAGGAATCCGAAACAGAAGGGGGGGAGGGGAATTTCCCAAAAAAGGGTGTAATAAAAATTTATGATTGGCACATCTGATGGCCGGAAATGGAACTCTCAGATTTAAATTTGAATATAATTCTCTTTTTTTATGCCTACACAAGTTGAAAACAAAAATTAGGGTAGGGTGGTGCCCCTTGAATACGCCACTGCTTCAAAACCTAAAATTATGCATCGACTTACCTTTACAGCAATTTAAGACTTCAACTCAATGTTGCTGTAATTCAAATTCTGTTGCGCAATGGAGTAAAACTACTTTTCCGTCTCTCAATTATTACTTTAAGACAACATCGATAATAATTTGTTGTTAACTTGCTTGACTTTACAGCACGAATGATTAGGCCTTTGTGTCCGTCAGTTTTTGCAGGGTAGGCCTATGATTGCTTTACATTAGTTGATGACACACTTCCTCCTCCGCACTGTGCGAAGAGAATTGCCTTGGCATTCCAGCGTTTATACTTGGCTATGACGTCCAATTATACTCATATTCGGAATATTAAAGTCTAGTTTATAAACGTTCTATAGAAATGCTCCAAATTCCATCTAAGCGACCGAGTATCTAGAAGTCAGTCCATATTCTGCAACTTGATAACCAACTCTCACTGAAGACAATTAAGGTCAGAATGGTTATCTTTTTATTTATTCATGTTTGGCTGCTAGCGTGGTTTCTTTCTAATGGAATGGTCAAGGGTATATCTATTAAATCTTTTGCCGGGTCGCTTAGCCGAGGATTAGTGCTATTGTAATTGTGACATATGAAACGTTTAAATAATAAAAAGGGATACCAGTATATTTGTTATTTGCACTTTGATTGCACTTGCGATTCACACTGTTGCACTTTCCTTTTCGTAAAATGAAATAATTTAGAGTGTATGAGGAAGGTCCAAAGTTATAACCA